TTCCAGGTTCATGGTCCAGCTGTTTCTTCAGGAATGTGGCTGGGCAGCTCGTTCCACTCTCCCACAGCCCTATGGTAAATCAGCCCTCCTGTCCTCAGTTTTAAGGGCACCTCCATGTAGCTACTGAGCCTTAAAGTGCCACTGTGCCTTAAAGCAGGGTCATGTACAACTGGTGAGCTAAATCAAGAAACATTTCATTTGTCTTTTTCAGGAAATACCGAGCTACGACACCATCGTCCAGACTCATGAATCCTCCTGGCACATCCCCTATGATGTGGAAGGGCTGGAAAGGTGCTCCTATGAAGTCCCGAAACAGTGGCTTTGTCTCAGAAGAAAATACTGAGGAAACACACTTTGGAATGGAGAGGCCTTATTATTTCCAAAGTGTTTGTGATATATCGCATTGGTTACACATGAGGTCTTCAGTACAGAAAGAGAGACACTGTGCAAAGACGAAGGTCTGTAGGATACTGAAAAGAAGTTCTTCTGTTAGATAAAAAATAACTTTGGTCTCACTGACTAAATCATAACATTGTATAATATCCTTCCAGATCCTGTTTTTTTTTTTATTTATATTTAAATTCCTGGGTTCCTCCTGGAAAGTGTGGGAAAATGTATTTTGATGTGTTCCATCTATTGAATGCATTAAAATTATCCCTGTACTGCAAACACCTCTTGATCTAGACGTTTTTACAAATGTTTGCATATCCACTGTAAATAAAGACAAACTGTAATGCTGTGCATTTGCTTAAATAACTGTATGTGGTTCACATGAGTGATTCACACAAACGAAAATCAAAGACCGTGAATTGAGCAAACAAAACAACATGACCTAACTTTGTGCTTTTGAAAAGCTTTGCACACCACATCTTCTCCGATCCACCTTGTTCTTTTTTCTTGTTGAATTCCTTCACTGCACTTTTTTCTTAGTCAAATCTAGATGTACTGTACAGCCCATGCTTGATTCCAAACGTACTGACCCTGGATGGGAGACCTCCTGGGAAAGCTAAGGTTCCTTCAGGAAGAGTTGTTAGTGGGACCAGTAGGGGGCGCTCACCCTGCAGCCTCTGTTGTTTCAAACACCCCAGTATAGTGATGGGGACACTATACTGTAAAAAAGGTGCTGTCCTTCAGATGAGACGTAAAAGTGAGGTCCTGACCCTCACTAAAAAGAATTAAAAGAATCACAGGGTGTTTCTTGAAAAGAGTAGGGGTGTTCCCCCGGTGTCCTGCCCAAATTTACCAATCATGGTTTTCTTATAATCTCCATCTCTGAACTGCCTTCATCACTCTGTTCTCCCCACTGAGAGCTGGTGTGGTGGGAGATTACTGGTGCGCTATGGCTGCTGTCACATAATCCAGGTTGGGGCTGCACACTGGTGGTAGTGGAGGGGATCTCCATTACCTGTAAAACGCTTTTTAGAGGAGTGTCCAGAAAAGCGCTATATAATTGTAAGGAATTATTATTATTGTCATTATTATAAAGAATGTCGTTTCCTTTATTAACACCCATGATTACACATTTCTGATGGCAAAGCTGGTGAAGTTTTAAAGGTGAAATACAACTGCTGTAAAACTGATTTAAACAAGACAAACGCACATCTTCCCTAACGTCCTGCTATAACAATAGCCAAAACATACTCTGCAAAGGAACAAGTAACAGGTTTATTCCATGCTGAAAAGAGAAGACATAAAACACAACGTTTCGGCTGTGAAGCCTTCTTCAGGTGTGAGAAGGACGGGGCAGACAGCAAAGATTAAATAGCACAGAAGAGCAAAAGCTGGGAGTGGGGAGGAGGCAGGAGAGGCAGAGAGGCCACTCAGTAAGTGTAAAGAGTGAAGAAAGGTGTGAAGTCAAAACCTGCATGAGAATAAAGAAGATTATATGAAAATACATATTGTATTGACAATCCAGATGTCAATACATACTGTATATAATAATATTCTACCTTTTTAATTATTATCATTTTTGGATTTTTGATTTTCTTGTCAGAAAACTTAATTCTAATTCCAAATGCAAACCTCTACATACTAAATTAATAAAATTTCATGTCCCTTTCAGTAAGGACTTAGCTTTTAAAACTATATTGGGAAGTAATTTTTTTCTGTAGTATTCATAATATATGAGTAGTGCTTTTATTATGGTACATGGCGAATTTATCTGAAACCATGGGCTGTAAATCAGTCACACATTAAGGGCAGTACAGATGTTTAGACGGTTTGTGGAATGTGATTTAAAAAATGTCAAATTCAGTTCAAGCTTTATAAATTGAGAAGCAACAATTTCTCATGTGAATATAACAGGAATATTAAAATTACTGGCGGTTTTCACAATTCAAAAATAAATTCATAATGTGTTAATACATCTTTATGCAGGTGCTATGAAAAGTTAGCATTAATTAAATTTTTATTAACATTTAAAAGTTTTAGATAACTGAAAAATTCTAGTGGTTCAACAGAAATCAAAACAAACGTTCATCGACGTTTTTGGAAACAAATCGTTAGAGGCTTTTTTAAAGATAACGTTCAACTGCAAAAAACGAATATATATTTTGCCTATTGTGATATGCACTAGCATTGCGGTAATCTAACAGTATAGAGAACTCGCCAATGTGCTGAATAAAATAAACAAAGCGAATGTCTTTGTCACCAAGGCAACCCCTCCTTTCACCCTGTGACCCGGTAGTAGAACGTCGGGTAGAGGGGTTCTCTTTCCGGGTGAATTGAAACTGCATGTTGTGTCTCTAGTTGTGTTTGCAATATATTTTCCAATTTTTTGTATATTAAATTCTTGTTGAAACAAATCATAATGTCCCGGGGATCCAGCGCGGGTTTCGATCGACATATTACCATCTTTTCTCCCGAAGGTAGACTCTACCAAGTAGGTTAGTACGGAAGTTTATGCTTTAAACTTTGATTGTACACTAGCATCGGTTCTGAACTACAGCGTCTCGGCTAGTTGCTCAGTCATTGTGGGGTTCTTTCCCCCCATACGGCAACAAACAGCATTTGTTGAAGCGTTGAACCAAAATATTTTCTTCTATGTTTAATTAGGCTATGTTTAATGATGATGACATCGGAAAATCCGCCTAGCTTTTATTTTTTGACGACTTGATGGGGAATTCGAGTCATAGGCTCTGAGGCCTTATTGTTCATTCGCGTAAAGGGAATCCTAAGGCGATACCGGTGAAGAAAGAAATACAGAAATGACATGGCCCCATGAGTATTAATCGTTGTTTTATTTAACTTGTTTTGTTTCCGTGGGGTCAGCGTTCCATATGCTTCGCTATCTATACCTTCAATAAATACAGAGCAGCGAGCTTGTCGTTAGGGTGAAATATTTCAGGCTTTCATGAAACGATGATGAACGTCGCTTTGAATTCGTTTTATTTTCTTGAGAAATCTAATCTCATTGGAAAACCGTTGACATTGAGTCGTTAGGGGAAACGGTGGGAAGGGGGGGCAAATAAAGTTCAAGTTTAAGAAACCCTTAAAGGTTAAAATATGTTTTATTGTGAAGATGACGGCGCAACACGGCACCAGATAATTAGATACGGGAGTGATAATGAAAACCACTTACCGGTAGTATCATTCTAACATCCCAGCTTGTGTCGTTTTGTTTTTCGCTGCTTGGGGCACTTATTTATCGGTAAAGGTAAAAACAAAGTTCCCGAGTGATGTATTTTTTGCCTTTTAAATGCCTGTACATGTGGCAGTGTGCTGTGATTTGTATGTGTACCTTTACACTCAACAGAATACGCATTCAAGGCTATTAATCAAGGCGGTCTGACCTCAGTAGCTGTCCGAGGAAAGGACTGTGCGGTAGTTGTCACACAGAAGAAAGTACCGGTATGTATGCAGAGACAGGCCTCTTGATCCGTGCACTGGTCTAGCAGACTACTAACTACCAAACATCCTTCCCTTCTAGTGATGCTATATAACTGAAGTGTGGTTATCTGATTTCAGGAGGTTTAACTTTTCGCATTAATCTATGGTATTTTCAGATTTTTCTATTTCTTTTTCTTTTTAAAATGAGAACAAGGTTGTGTTCTGCAATGAGAGGTTCTTTGGTCCTTCGTATTTTAATGGCTGGGTCCAGGGGTTGTAAATCACTCCCTGGATGCAAGCAAACATAATCATTTGACAGCGCTCCACTGTAGTGCTGTGTCTGGGTATACCGTTGCTGTGAAGAAAGCTACGTCTTCTGTATGTTGTAGTATGTGACAGTCCATCACTTTTCAGGCAAAGCAATGCAGTTTATACGGCAGTTTCAGTGTGCAATAAGAAACTGGAGAGTGGGATGTCGAGAGTCGTACACAGTTAAATAGTCTGGTTTCTTTCTGCTAGGACAAGCTGCTGGATTCCAACACTGTCACCCATTTGTTCAGAATAACTGAAACCATTGGCTGTGTGATGTCTGGGATGACAGGTATGTGAAGGGCAGGAAATCTCATTCTGCCGACACTCTGCTAACACCTGTGTTACAGGCTCACCCCAGAAGGAAAAGCAGCAGTTCTAGTTTTTCTGACAAGTGTTGCCTTTAGTGCATACTTGACAAACGTAGAGTAGGGAGGACTTTTGAATAGATACTTTTAAAATGTGAGCCTCATAAGAATATGCATATGTAAAAACTAATGCTAGCACTTCATTTAGTGCATTTAGTTTGCATCTAAAACAAAAATACTACAGGATTTCTTTATAAAACTGTTTTAGGGTGTTTTAACATCATCTGTATTTAGTACCTTTAGGGGTTTAGCTTCTCTGGAGGGAAGAGGATTTGATTTGCTGGGTCCCAGCACTCAGTCTGAGGTCATCTGTGTGTTTTTTGTGTGTCAAGCTGACAGCCGGTCCCAGGTCCAGAGAGCTCGTTACGAAGCCGCAAACTGGAAATATAAATATGGCTACGAGATCCCCGTGGACATGCTTTGTAAGAGAATCGCAGACATTTCTCAGGTCTACACACAGAATGCGGAGATGAGGCCTCTTGGCTGTTGTAAGTACTCTTATTAAAGTGAGCACTAAAGCTTCTGTGCGTCTTCCCTTAGTGTTCTAGTATCCTCTGACATGTGCTGGCCTTGCAAACAAACTAAAGCTGTATAAGTAGGGAGCTGTGGCAGCATGTGTAGGCTGCGAAGGAGCAAGTAAAGGTGTATTCTCTGCCAAAAAGCTAAGAAAAGAAACACAACATGTCGCGCCCAAAGAAGGCTCCACAGCCGAAACGTTGTTTCTTCTCTTCTCTTTTCAGCAGGGAATAACCCTTCACTTGTTCGTTTAAAGTTGTGTAATCTTATTAAGATTGCAAGTTAGTTTTGCCTTTTCCTTTATTTCCACTGGCTTAACGGGGAATATTTGTACCCACCCCAAATCAAGAGAAATTATCTCTATCCCTCTTTATCCCCACCCCATCATAATGACACCCCTGCTTACTGTAGGTATCGGAGCGTGTCTGTGATTTGCTGATGATAATTATGTCAGCGTTGTCTGCAGTCAAAACTGTCCTCTTCATCAAATACCTTTCTGGCTGGAGACCATAGCTTTGCTGGGGCTGCGGGTTGAAGAGCTGAGCATCAGGTCTTCATGGTTGGTGTCTCTAATCGCAGGCATGATCTTGATTGGAGTGGACGAAGAGTTCGGCCCTCAGGTGTACAAATGTGATCCGGCTGGGTATTACTGTGGGTTCAAGGCCACTGCCGCTGGCGTCAAGCAGACGGAGGCCACCAGCTTCCTCGAGAAGAAGGTGAAGAAGAAACTCGACTGGACCTTCGACCAAACGGTAGAGGTAAGGTGCGCACCTCAGCAGTGTGAACGAGCGGTCTGGTCACACCTCTGGTTCACCGTTCGGATCTGCAGACTTGCACAGAATTGCGTGCATGTTCGTTCCCAATCCAGTGCTCTACCCAAGCTGATTTGTGCATGTTGGGATGAGCCCAAGCGGTAAATGTTAAAGCTCCATTCACAGAAAACGAGACTTGCATGTTATAAAAGAAAATGTGTTTTTATTTTTAATGGACTGGCGAGAACTCGGAATGCTAAATGACTCCACCCCCTTGTTTTATAATGGGTGTTACGGTCCCCTGAATATGTTATGTAGGGCGACCCATAAAAATACTAACATACCGTACATAAGTATCACAGTGCACCAAAAATCTGTGGCAGTATTGTAAAATGATGAATCACATGCAAAGTAATAGTAAGCTACTTACAACAGTAGTTTATTTTGTCTTGTAATAATTCTTTTGATTACCAGTTTTGTCTTCTAGATTCAATAGGTTGTGGACAGTTCAGCTTAATAACATTCTTATTAAGAACATTATTTTTCATTGGAAATACAGTGGCTAAGAGTTATCAGTCTTTTTTGTAACATCAGTGAAAACCTAGGTCTTTATGCACATTTGGCTTTCCCGGAGTCTGCAATGGATTTGGCAGTGAGCTCCACAGATGTGGGCCCTGGTGTTCTGCAGATTAAGAAGACTTGAATCAGCAGACGGTGGGATTTCTCAGTCATCATGGTGTTAATGATGTTCTAACAGGGATGTTCCCCATATTTATAGTGTGAAAAGCCTCTTAAGAATTCAAGCTACATATTCTCACAGAATCAGTAGGTATTAAAAGTTTCCTTAGGACATCATTTACATTTGCTGAATTTAAAATAAGGAAGGCAGAATAAATTAGCAATTTGTCTCAAAATATTTATATTTTCCTTGACAATACATTTATGAGTGTTTCTCAAATTGATATCTCCCCAGACAGCAATAACCTGTCTGTCTACGGTGTTGTCCATTGACTTCAAGCCCTCAGAGCTAGAAATTGGCGTTGTTACAACAGAAGACCCTAAATTCAGGTAAATGACAATTGCATTTTATTTTTACATCACAGGAAGATGTCAATGCACAAAACCCAAAAGAAGACAAGAAAGACAAAGATCTTTTATGCATCATAGTATCAATCTGAGATTAGCCAAACATCACAAACCTTTCAGTTCCATTTTCAAAGACAAAGACAGTGTGAACATTGTCACATAGTTTCTATTTCTTAAAATTGGTAGCTGTAATTCTTTTCCTGTTATTGTTGGTAACAAATAGTATGAATTAAGGAAGTTTACATGGAATAACATACAGCATAAAACGAGATTAACACATCTGAAAGTTTACCATCCACATATATTTGTGTAAATTAATATAAAAAAACCAGAAGGTTTATTGTCTCTTCAAGTCTATAGAATTAAAGCTTCAAGTCAAAGTTAATGATTTTTTATCGATATGTCGGATTTCTATCACAAAAGACTGCTCAGTCTCTGTCTTGCCTCTGTTTCCCTGCAGGATCCTGTCAGAAGCTGAGATCGATGGACACCTGGTGTCTCTAGCAGAGAGAGATTGAACTTGTACTGAATCTATAGGCCAGGCCAGAGAGTGATTGATCCCCTGTAAGCACTGCTAAAGAATATAGAATGCAGGTCAAACCTTATGACCATTGTTAGCTGTATATTTACCCTGTTCCATTAAAAAGAAGGTTTTGGAAAATGTTGCTTTTGTTCCTTTTCTTTGTCTTCCTATATATATATATTTTTATTGTCTTCCTATATAGATACTCCAGAAATACAGTTTGGTTGCAAACTGGTTAACGGAAAGACTACAGATGGGGCTTGAATGCTCAGTTTGCAGTGGTGTAATTAGTGCCGCAGGACCACTGCTCTTCTGAATTGAGGATCTAGATTCTGCCATAATCAGTAAATGAGTCAAGTTAGCGGATGACACCAAAACAGGAAGATAAGGAAACACTGAAGAAGCAGCAAACAACATTCAAAAGGATTTATGTAAAATTCAAGATTGGGCAAACACTGGCTTGTGACATTCGATGTAGACAAATGCAGAAGCAAACTATCAATACAAAATGGGAAATCTTGAGCTTAAAGAGGTTACTCAAATTAATGATGGTGCACATGTTGGCACCTTTACATCTTTTAGATCATGTGTAGAAGTTATTTTTAAAAAAGGCAAAGAAAACTCTCGGATTATAAATTTAAAATGAAATCGAGGGATGTTATGTTAAAATTGTACAAGTTTGGATGATAAATTTAGAATAATAGAATGTAAATCAAGGGATGTTATATTAAAATTGTATGATGTTCTAACTAGTACAGTAACTAGTGAGACCTTATTTAAATTATGTACAATTTTGGATAACGCATGACATTTATTTTTCTGGAATCAGTTTAGAAATGAGCACCCAGATACATAAGAACAAGTTTATTCCATACTGAAAAGAGAAGAGAGAAAATGCAATGTTTTTTCGTTCTGGTTTCAACCCAGATACATTGTGGGCTTGAGGGAGTGACCTGCACTGGCAGGCTGAAGGAACAGACCTTTTCAGTCTTGTACAGAAAGCTGTAAGCGGACTTTATCCAAGTATTTAAGATCTTTAAAGTCAGCCCTTGTTTTGGAATCATGGGTAAAGCATGAACCAGAGGCCAAAAGTGAAATCTGCATGGATAAGCATTTAAACCTAGCAGGTAGTTCTTTACACAAAGGCTTGTGGGAGTAAGGGATGAGCTACCATTAGCTTCTTATGTTCTCATGATATAACTGGCATTAGCAAAACCAAGCTTCCTGCACATTTCCCTGAGGTGGTATCTTACATATTCAGTTTGTAGATGTGCCAAAATGAATTTGTTTAAAAATTTGGGAGTAAATGACAATAATAATTACACTTATATAGTGCTTTTCTAGACACTCCGCTAAAGTGCTTTACATGTAATGGGGATCCCCTCCACCAACACCAGTCTGCAGCCCCACCTGGATGATGCAGTGGCACCCAGAGTGCACCAGTACTCTCCCCAACGCCAGCTGTCAGTGGGGAGGAGAGCAGAGTGATGATGACAGTCCAGAGATGGGGATTATTAGGAGGCCATGATTGGTGAAGACCAATGGAAAATTTGGCCAGGACACCAGCGTAACACCCCTACTCTTTTTGAGAAACACCCTGGGATTTTTAATGAGCACAGAGCATCTCATCTGAAGGACAGCACCTTTTTACAGTATACTGGGGCATTAGGACCCACACAGACTGCAGGGTGAGCGCCCCCTACTGGTCCCACTAACACCCCTTCCAGCAGCAGCCTTAGCTTTCCCAGGAGTCTCCCATCCAGGTACTGACCAGGCTCACACTGCTGTATCGAGTATCTTTTATCGTTACAGTGATATGTAATAGCCAGATTTAATCTTTGAGGCTTAAAAAAACAACTCCGCAATATCAATCAAACTGACATTGTTTTAAAACTCAATTATTTTTCTGCAAACAGCTCATTACACTGTTGACGTCTATATATGGGTATATTTTCTTAATCCCAGTAAGAGTAAAAGCAGGAGAAAGTAGAAATGCCGTAGTGTGCAAATTTCCCTTCCTTCCGGTAAATTATTTTAAAGAACAAGGACGCATTCGCTTGGTGTCAGTCTGATTCTGTTTCGTTTGCTTGTAACAGGTTCAGAAGGAAGGGGATTTCTGACAGGGGGTTTATTCTGGAGGAAAAGAGAATGAGTTATCGCTCTACTTCCTATTTAGTGTACGTGTGCGCAGTCACATGACCTACATCACTGCAGCGCTTTAGTGCTCTGAAAGCACCTGGAGCGGTCTCCTGCTTCGTGTCTGCGATCAAGGCACTTTACCGAATGAACGACCTATTCCCAATATTCTCTAGACAACACAGCAGCTGTACATATGTTACGCGTCTGTTTACGAATAAATTGGACGCAAAAGAAGAAAGGAACGCAAGTCTGACGTATAGTATTAAAGATGTTTATTCAAACGAATTGAAGTTGCAGACGGGAATATTGTGTTACTGGACGCCAAAGCAAACGGTTCCACGAACCCACACCTCTGTATAAAGAAGCGCCGCCTGTTGTCTGTTTTAAACGATCTAGCTCCAAGTTTCCACTTCTGTTTTCTAGGCTCAGTGCGGATTCTGGGAATGGGTGTTTGGTGTTCTTTATCGGATGCTTTTAAGGGTTCTGCGTGCTTGGATCAAGCTCTCTTACACTGTAAGTCCTCTGTGTACACGACTAACAATGTCCAGCTCTTTCAGCTCTTCAGTGTAGGACATTCCTATGAGCCCAAGGCCCAAGAATGTCCTTGAAAGGTTTGCATGTGACTTAATGTTCCCAGAAGCTATTGGTAGTTCTTCAGGACTTCTAAAGACTAGCCCTTTCAATGAGATTACTGTGCTTCTCCACTGGACAGTAAATCCAATGAGTTTAAATCAATGAACTGCTTGATAGAAAGTTAGATAAGCTGTGTTTTCCAGGATGCCCCAGCAATGTCACATGTATATTTTAATTACACGTTTGTGACAGAACACAAACCATTTGTTACTCATTTTGTCTCTGCTGTGTCATATGCACTGGACACTGTGACACAGCATAGAAACTGCTGAAGAGTGCCCAGAAAATAGCAAAACGTGTGTTGGCATGCTGGTTAAGAAGCTGCCATGCATGGACTACAAAAACCTCCATGTGCATTGCCTGAAATGTTTTACATGAAAGCACTTATAACAAATAATCAAAGTAGCACATGAAAGCCCCATTCTTATATTTAAAGTCTATTTAATAAAAAACATTGCTGGCATTAGTTGCAAAATTAGTTTGCCAAACAGTTTCTTTTCAAGAGGTATCAGAAATGTCCCAGGATTTATTACTCACATGCTTGCATAATCATTCACAGGTGAAGTGTTACTCAATGACAAGAAAAGTTTCAAACTGAAAATAAACCGACTTCCTCAGAAAATAAAAATTGAGCAATATGTAGGTCCTACCTGGAAGGCTGTGTTGATGGGCTTAGATGTAGGGAGAGTTTTGCATCAAGTTTGTTAACAATAAGATGATTTGGTTCTCTGTGTGAGTAATACACCTCCAAAGCCATTCGTTTGGCCTTGGGTTTTCCATCTGTTCTATGGTTGTCATTTCTCAAATCACACTGAATCATAAGCGGCTCTTCGAACTTCTGGGGCACTTCAAGATGTTTGTAATTTTCATTTAGCTTTTGCGCATTTCCTGTTCCTGCCTGTTTGAATGGGTGAGAGTTATGACTAAGTCATTTGCATGCTGCTGCTGTGAGAGGCTCATAGACAACGCTGTGGACGAGAATTTACCTAAACAGTAAACAGGAGGTGATCACAAGACACTCACATTGAGCCCTCTTTGAGCACACTAGAGAAACACCAAAATCCCAGGACAGAGCTGAGCTGCTATTTAAATGATACAAAAACCACATCAAAAACATGCCCTTTGCAGTGACTGTAATAGCAAACGATTTACACCATTGAAACAATAAGGGGAATTGTTGAAATCTGTGTTTAAAATGAAGACTATAACCTTGTTCCTATCAGTTGGACCCCCCCAGCTTAACTTACACGAGGTGCATTATTTTACACAGTATCTCCGTGATAAAGATATCCAACAGCGGAAAACCAGGGCCCCGCTGGAGCATGTAAAAAACAGATAGTAGGGAAAAAACAAAGGAACAAGGAAAAGTAGATGTAACACAGAAAAAACACATTTGTGCTGGGGAACAGTCTTTGGGTGTGTGGGCAAATGAAGCCTCTGGATGATCCTGGAATGTTCTCAGGGTAAACCTTCAACTGCAAACATTTTTCCTGACCCACCAATCATCTCATAATGCAGTCCACCTGATCTCTAAAGCCTTCTACTCCACATCGTCCACATCCACCGTCATCTCATACCACTGACCACCTGATCTCCACAGCCTTTTGCTCCACATCCTCCTAACTGTCCACAGCCACCATCACCTCATGCCACCCATCCACACCAGGCACCATCTGCTGATGCATCACCAGCAAACGTCCAGCCAGTAACACGGATACCCAGAGGCCTCGTGTTTGTCCAGCTCATTTAAATATTGATTGCACCTCTTCCAGAAAGCTCCTGCCGTTACCACTGGTGCTACAGACAGGAGACAAGCAGCACGTCAGGGCAGCGAAGACCAGAGCTCAAGGGTTGATTTTGACAATCCAGGCCATGGTCACGCTGCCCTTTGTGTCTGTGGCCTTTCACAGGGTTTCAACAACACTTATTCTGGAAAGACATCAAAGGTGAAACTTCTCCTTTAACTCCTGTAGTTCTACACCTTCCCCTAGCATTCTGTGACTCGGTCATTCCTTCCTTAACCTCTCCATTCTTTTACAAACCTGCCCTCGGAATTCATCGCCGAGACTTCCGATTCCATGGACACCACGTTCTCCTCCTCCTGCCCGATGTCCCCCTTACTCATCCATCGGCCTTTTGGAGGAAGAAGAAAATTTCCCAGTGTGGAATTATTGGATGAAGTGGTTGGAAAATGCAGGGATGGGGTTACCCTCTGCTTGATCTTTTGCACCAAGCACACACACACACATTGACACCCCCACCCCACTCACAAACCAACAAGCCATCTTCTTTCAGTACCCCCTAGCACTGGCAGTCTGTTTGTGTGTGTGTGGGGGGGGGCGGGGGACACAAGCATTCGGCCATCCTACGTTGGCGGTTTTCCTCATGTGTGGGAGGATGTTTGCTTCTATTCACTGGGTATTTATAACATTTAAAGCCACATTGAAGAGAGTAGGTGTGAACGAAGCCTCAGCCCTCTCCTTCATGACCCCTGGCCTTTCTGCTCCCTCTCTGACCACATGAAGGGAACTCTCTCCCTTGACCAAAGAACGAGTGAGGCTTTGCGCAACACATACCTGATAATGCCGAGCAAAAAAAATTAATGGCTTCACTAATGTCCTGTAGAACAGCATGTTCCCCCGAGCACGGGAACAAAGAAAAAAAAAGAAAACTTCACCAGAGTTGGCTCTGCTTAAACATTCAGACGTAGGAAACGTCTGTTATAGTGGAGATAATCACTGGAGTATGACAACCACGCCAATTTCCAAAAATACTTGAATTCTGCTTTCAGAAGAAAAAAGTGTGGATTGCTTTGTTTCTGAAAAGCTGCTTGGAAAGACACAGTGGTACAAATCAGACTTGTTTGTTTTGTTTGCAGGTATTAGGAAAAGATTATTTAGAAAATACTGAACAAAAATACCTCTTTCATTTTCCTTTAGTGTAACTCACTAACTAATCTAACTTCTCTGTGTTAAGGAATGTTGTTTATTTTCAGTGTAGTGCATTGGGGTAGTTGTAGTGCATCATTTGGAAATGCCCAGTGAGTCAATCCTTGTTCAGAATGTGGACGGTCTTTCTTGAAATTCTTTCAACATCCTTCGTGGCCAATTCGCATTTCCCAGAGCTGCACTTTGAAACCCCTCTCCTGACTAATTCCCAGGGGAAATATCCTAAGTGAATGAAGACGTGGGATATAGGAAAGTTGAAAAGTTGAAATAAAAGCAGCCTGCCTTTATTCGGGTGGGGGTTTACAATCCCTTTGCCTGTTGGAAGTTCCCACCCATTCTGGAAATTCCAGCCTGCTGATCAGACAAGGAAAAGGGCACGTACAGCATGCACAGGGACAATCCGATCCTCTTCCCAGATAATTGTCCAGACCGTGCCCCAAGACGTGGCTGACGAGTGTGTACACAGTACTACTGATTGATCAGGCTCATGTCTTGATCCAAAGCAAATATTTGTATTCATAAGGCTGGGCGTTTGTCTTGAACAATTCAAGTGAAGTGTCTTGCTCAAGAGTGGATGAAGCAGCAGCATCTTCTCTGGTGCTTGAGCCCATCAACTTCCAGTTACAAGCCCCCTCACCACGGTATGAATGACAGCCACGGTGAAATCAATTTGGCGTTAAGTCTAAGAATGTTGCGTAGCACCTAGGACTATACAAAGATATTTTGGCACTCAATTTTTTTATATTAAAAAAAGATTTTGGGGTATTCTGTACTTTGCACTGTCCAACTTCATCTCAAGGGCAACACTGTGCTGTTGAACAGTGGAATTAACACCTCAGAGTAGCCGACTATAAACCGGGGTTGCAGGCTGGAATCCCAGGACTCCCAACGTCGTTATCAACCTCCAAGTGGAAGCGCTTGCGACCCTCAAATTCTGAGCTACTCCTCTCAAATCTCTAAAAAGCTCATTTCCCCCCCCCCCCCATTTAGCACCACTATCACATTTCCTGTTCACATCCCAGAATTCAAGACAAATTCACAGAGGTCATGGTTCTCTTTTTATTCTTGCTTACAGTATGTATACAGGTATGGCTCCTCAGTTAGTACTTAAAACATACAAGATACTCACACACTCGATAGTGTTCATGTATAATAACATTTCATTTACTTCAAGAAACTTATTTGAAAAGAGTTCATTCAAAAAAAATAGATTTCTCTGTATAGTACATCATTTACATATTTACACTCCAAGGTGTACAGCTTGCAGAAATTCCGGGTTGTGAAGACCGAGTCAGAGTCCTTTGGAAATTCAGGTCCAGTACAGGTTCTGTGTGCAGTGAACTGGTTGTCTGGGTCCCAGTGCAATCCTCCCTGGGCTCACAGCGTCGATCAGTTCCAAAGCCCGTCTGTCCAGCTCCCCTGCGCCCCGCCCTTCCTCTCCACAAACACTTCCCACGCCCTCGGCCCGGCGACACGGAGTCTGGCCAGTGCTCCTGCTGGCACTGGCTGCCGGCCAGGGCAGGCTCTGGGACCTGCCAGCGGCTGTGTTCTCCTCTGCTCCTCCAGCAGAGCGCGAGGCTCCCGGGCCCGAGCACTACTGCCGCACCAGCTGAATGTCGTCGTACATCTGGAGGGGAAAGCAAAGGAGCAGGTTAGGCTCTGGGGCCCGCAGGAGTCAAGAACCCCCTCCCACACACACACACACTTTTCTGCAGAGGTAAGAGAACTGCCACGTCTAGCTTCCTGAAAGGAAACCAGTGACCACCCACGGCTCTCGACACATCCAATCAGAGCTGATGACAACTAGTGTCACGTTAATTCCTGCTCCTGCTTCAGTCGAGTGCCTCATGCGTCAACACCCCACCCCCACCCGGTTCAGCCAAGGACTGGGACAGCGCGGACACTTACGTCATCTTCCTCGTACAGAGGCTCGTCGTCGCTCTCCTCCGCCTCGCTCTCCGGGAGCTCCCGCAGGTCCTGCGCGGTCAGGGCGTACAGGTGCCGCTGGATCTCCGCGTTCTGCCGGCCGTAGGTCAGGTGGTACGGCGTGTGGCCCCCGTAGGTGAGGCTGTTGACGTCGGCCCCCTTGGCGACGAGGAGCTGCACCAGGGGCAGGTTCTGCAGGTCCACAGCCAGGTGCAGGGCGGTCCGGCCGTTGCACTGCTCCTGCGAGGACAGGGCGAGCTCACGTCAGACAGGCCACACGCTCTCCAGAGCCAGCGGAAGCACAATCTCACAGCAAAGTCCCCGCTAAAACTCAAGGCTCTAATGGTGGACTGGAAGACGTGTTCCAGAAAAGATGCTCAAGTGTGCCACCCAGCCTCTCACGATATGCCCCTTCGAACCCCGAGGAATTGCCCAACAAGGCAGAGCACAAACCTACCTGCACATTGATATCGGCACCCAGCTGAATGAGGTTCTCCACCAGCGAAAGATAGCCGTGGATGGAGGCCAAGTGGAGGCAGTAATGTCCTGGAAAAGGAGAAGGAAGAGCAAGCTGGTCAGTGACAGGCCACCATGGTTCAGCGTGGTAGTGGGGATGATCCTCCGATCTTTCCAGATATTCAACATCGGCACCAGGCCTTCTGTTTCTGGCGTCAATGTTGGCGATTTCCAGCTCAGAGTCTTTATTTTTACCAAAGCCAGCTGACTCCGAGTTAACATTAATAACACCAGATTGAGCACCGAGGTCGGGACAGGACGGGGTCAAAGGGCATCGCCGCACGACGAATGCCAACGGTTACTTACCGTTGTAGTTGGTGGTGTTGAAGATGTAGGGCAGGTGCTGTGTGCTGCCCTGGGTCAGCACGCTGAAGCAGTGCAGAGAGCCCTTCTTACAGGCGATGTGCAGGGCCGTGTTTCCACAGTCATCCGTCAGCCTGGGGTCGCAGCCAGCGGTCAGCAGCCTCTCCACAACCTGGGGCTGCTCCATTATCACGGCCAGGTGGAGAGCCGTCTATTTGGATAAGAGAAAGGAAGAGGAATGTCAATCCATGCTCATCAACGTGTGCTTCACTGCACACTAAAATCTGAAGTAAAAAAAAACCCCATTAACAATTCCTCCCCACTAAAGGGAACTAGACAAAAACATCCCTTCTGCTGGAAATTACCTGTCTCTGGTTGTTCTGGACGTTGAGGAACGGGTCACCGCGGCAGCGCTCGATAATCTGCAGGGCGCAGTCCGCGGCCTCGTGAATAACAGCCAGGTGGAGCAACCTGGAGGAAAAGAAGATGAGAATCCATTCAGTTACACGGTTTCTGGAGGGACTGGAAAGGAGGCCGATGGGGGAGGAGGGAAGTGCTTGAAGCAGCACTTGCGTGTTGCGCAAGCCTGGGTTTTCGGTGGTAATTTCCACTAGCGAGGTCCTGACACATGAGCGCCCCGCCGCTGGCGCCGCGCCAGGGACTTTCCGCCGCCGCCCCTGCGAGGCGCAGAGGACTCCGAGCCCCGCTGTTTACGTCAACCTCTCCGACTAACGCCCAGCGCCTTCTCGCCTCAAAGACCGAAGGTTTTTTTGAACTCTTTAAAAAAAAAAAAAGTTTCTCGCATGCACCCTTTTTGTCTGTGCCGCCCGACTCCCTGCAGACCTGCGTGCTCTGGTGCGCGATGGTCATTTTGTTTCCGAGTACGAACCCCCCCCCGCTTATGGTGTCGTTTCTATCTGAACACTTTGATTCTTCTGTAAAAGCACGGCATATGCTTGTTACAAGCCACGCCGTTTTCGATCAAACCCCAGCTCATGCACTCGTACTAAGCGCCCTTCTTTCCTCGTTATTTCGTAACGCGCGGGTCCTCCGCGGTCAACAAATTCAACTTACGTGTCTCCGTCCTCCGTCCTCTGCAGTTTCCACGGGTCGTTGTGGAAGTCATTCCGGTTGGCCTCCGTGGGATTCACCCTCAGGTTTTCCATGTCCTGCAGGATTTCTTGATATTCCTCCTCTTTCAAAGAATCCAACCCGCTGTCTAGCCTCTCGTCCTGGCATTGCAAATGTTTCCCATGCTTCAGATCCCGATCCTCCATGTTGTAATATCCCCGGTTACCATTAATAGCTTCCATTTTGATCTTGAGTCGCGCCTCCGACAGTCCTCTCTCTAGCTCTGAGCTCAAAATGAGTGTCGGCGCAGAGCCCGTCCAATATAAGCCAGGCGAGCAAGGGCGGAGCAACAAGCAGCCGGGGATTTCCAGTGACTGGCGAGGCAGCCTTGTGAGAACATTGTTAGCAGCTGGGGAAACTCAACAAGGGTTTTTTATGGGGAAAATTCCCCCCCAGATCAGTCCGTTTAGTAAGAATGAAAATTTGTAGTTTCCTATCAATATAACCTCGATTTTACACTATAAGTTCCCGCGCTGCGGAGTCGTGAGGGCTTCTAAAATGTTATTTGTAGAGAAGGGGTCGGTAGTTTTTAACCCTTCCCCACGCATGAGAGAGTTTTAAGTTTCTTTAAAATCACGTTTGGTTTGCACGATATTGTACGACATCGATCTCCAGGCAGGCTTCCGAATAAGTACGCGAGATGGGACATTTAGGGATTCACAAATAATTTCCGAATTGCTTTGCATTGCTTTAACAACAGCTATATGTATATTTTTTTAAAAACAAATCCAGCCGTTTTATGTTACTGTAGCTTGGGAAGTCGTTGCAGTCAGAACTTAAAATGTTAAATAAAAACAGGGTCCTGGACCATGATGAACCCTGAAACAGGGAAGTGTTCTGTAAGCCAGAGAAAACAAAAGTCTTTTTGAAAAGGGGTTTTACAAATGCTGAGCTCCCCCCCAAAAAAAAACAAAACCTGCATTGTATTGTAAGTACGTTGCAGGTGAGCGCTGTTCTTTTAAACCCGCACACGACTATTTTCACGGTGAAGCTACAGTATTTTACATTCGGCACTGTGCACCCCGTCTGTGTAGATATGGACGGTATCGGCCAAATAAAATAAAGGGGATCTGGGTGCCGGCACGGGTTTCCATGTTCAGATAGAAACGGGGAGCATTTGAGAAAGAGAGAAAATACGTGATGGAAATGGGAACTCAATTTAGGAGGTTCGTTTGGGAAAGATTCACTTCCACTCGAGTTCAGAGTCCCACTGAATATCGGACAACAGCGCCTGGGAGGGTTGGGTTTTTTTCTGGGGGAAATAACCCACGGTTCAAGCCGAGGGCGTTTTACTCCTGCACAGGCTGGGGGACTTCAGCCAATAGGTGGGGTTGCCCCTAAATATTAATTTGAAAATTTAAATAATATATATATACTCTTATACAGTACTCTGTTTGAGGACATGTGTTATTGATAGTATTGGAAGGCTATACCTCAGCTATTTTATAGTTGGGTACGGTTTTAAGAGTGTGTGTTTTTTTATTAACCTTCGAGGTACGATTCAATTATTTTGCATGTGGGAAATTGAACACTGCACGGTGCTTTTTAAATATAAAGTGCTAGACATGTCTGACAAAGACTTTTCCCACACAGGAATTTTGTTTCTTCAGAAAAGAAAAGCACCAGACGGCAGAAAACATTTGAAAAAATTCTCTTGGTATTCTGTTGTTTTGTAGCGGAGATGGGAATTTGTAAATAAAAATCTTCTGATCATGCTCGTGCTTCGAACAATAAGTTACCAAGCAAAGAAAAACCTGGACTTTCCTCATGGAGAAACCCTCTTAACAGCCTGAAACCCCTTGAAGATGTACTCTTCCCCAAAAAACTCAGAATGTGTTCATGAAAATCCCGACATTGCGATCTAATGCATGCATAGCCGTTAACACTGCAGGAAAAACAAATCTTTGCAAAAGTAGTTAACTGTTTTTTTGTAATGTACGGGAAGATAACGACAGAATCCAGGTACAGGAGAGAAGAGCTTATGAGTTATAACTTTGCATAACGATTGGTTGCGCTGCTGTAGTGTTTCTGGATTGAGACAATTTTATGTGTGCGGTATGACGTACATTGATCTTTTCCTCTGTTTTAAAAAAGCACCACACTTTAATTAGGTCACTATTGCTATGGTTAAAAAAAAACTTTTCAGTTTCTTATATATTTTTTTCTGAATGAAAGCATCCATTCCAGAATTACGGCTGTGGGAAACTCCACCTGATCGAGGCTTCACCTGTGACATGAGATGAGTAACCCCGGACATTTTCTGTTTGCAAAACACTGTACTGCATTAGTACAATGAATTTTACAAACATAGCAACCGCAGCATAGCAACGGTATCGAAGCGCGAGTCCTTCTTCAACTCCACAGCCCCCCCTGGCGGCCAAGAGACAGCAACAGCTTTCGCCACAGTGAAATGCTGGTTTTTATAGCGTGTAGACTAAAAACTGTCAGAAACTATAATAATAATAATAATAATAATAAGCCAGTGTGAGCACTGCCTTTGATAAACGGCTCTATTCCAAAAGCAGACTTTTAATCCGAATAATCCATTCCTTCATTTCTTTATTAGTTTTCGCCACATAGACACTTTTGCACAAGTCATCGGGCATAGCTTCTCCTATTTTGTATTCACAGAGAATTTTTGTTTACTTGCACTAAATCTCTGTTGAGTCTGGAAAATGTTTCTTCACATTTCCTAAGCAACGTCCAGCAGTGTGGCAAGGTGCTGGAAGCCTTGCTTTGGAAGTTGGGTTTTACTTAAAAAACAGTAAACCTGAAGTCTAAACAGGAAAGGAGATCAATTTAAGGCGTCAGTCCGCACTGGAGATTCAGAGCTCAGGAAGAACAGAGAAGCAGACAGAGAGTCACCCAGGACTGGGGCTGGAAATATCTGTCTTTAATGATTTATTCTCATTACAATGCTGTGTGCTAAAGCCATTTTTACTCAGCAAATAGTTAATGTGGTCATGCTGTTGTTTTGTATCCTCGAGCATTGTTTTCAAGCCTTTGTATTCTGCATTTTATTTTATTTTTACACCACATTGAAGGTTTTTCACAAAGTCAAAGTGCCTCCAAATCACTTAATTTAATAAAGTCATGCTTCTTAAGACTTCCCAAATGGCATACTCTCCAGTGCCACATCACTGTCACAGAACAAGCCGAATGAAAATAAAAGATCAGAACCAGGCCACAGCCTGAGACACGGTGTTTCTCTCTGTTGTTGATGGTGGGACGACACCCCTCTGGTTCAGATACCCGTGTTGTCAGTTATACAACGCTTGGACACAGCTCTGTGGCGCGGCATCACTGCAGCAAAGCACATACTGACCACCGAAGCAGACAGGCCTGTCACTTTCTTAACACGATTAAACTACGGCTTTTGCCGCCTGTAAAGGTGAGAAGGGAACTAAAGAAAAGCCTGATGGAAATTATACAGTACATCCTTACGTTGACCTCTGTGGGTGTGAATGGCAGATGAGTTTTTAAACAGGCCGTGGCAATGCTGTACCGGACACGGCAGGACGTCTCTGCTGCTGCTTTGCAGGTGCCTTAATACCTTCTCAGATAGCTCACCACCTTTTGAGAGGGTGGAAAGATTGACCGCCCCCACTCTCTGTCTCTTTCCCTGGAGGAAGCTGTGAGGTGGGTTACGCCTGAAAGCTGCCGTGTCCTAGCAGGACCGTCAGTCAGCTGAGTCCATGTGTACTGAATTTCTGTGCTGCTTCGGCGTTTTGCTGCAAAACTCAGTTCAACTGCAATGAACTCTTTCACTGAGGGACAGTAGTTGTTTTTTCGAAGCTGCTTTAAAATGCGTAGTTCTTTCCTATCCTCATCTGTTAGCGCCAGGCGTCCTCTTGCCAAACGGCCTCCCACTTCCCCGCGCTGAGGTGGCTGACATTCCCACAGTGGGAGAGTCCGGGGAATCCCTGCAGCTGGAGCTTCCAGGCAGGACGGCTCCGCGCAGGGCCTGAGCCCAGGGGCTGCAGCCTGTGGGAACTGGCGTTCCAGCTGAGCCTCCGAGCTCCGGCTCCCAGCAGCTCCTGGGGCCTGGAGGGAGCACACCCACTGGGTGGGGCAGACACTGCTGTGAGTCAGAGCCAGGGCTGGGATGCAAATCCACGCAAGGCCATACTGCCGCGATTAAGCAAGAAATTAGCCGTGCGCCCAGCGAGTGGGTGATGCAGCTGACTAGATGTGTACGGTTTGTGAAATTACCCGCCCAGGGTTTTATTCTGCGGTCTGATATAGTGATTCCTGGGACAGCTGGGCTGGAGCTGTCTATGGGAAAGCTGCAGTGCACTTTACAATGTGCAGGAACATCTCTGTATGAAGCTATTGGCTCCTGAACGAAACGAAGGGACAAAATGCATTAATTACATTTTGAACACAGATGAGCTTTGCTAAAGGAAACAGGTAAATGGCAATGTTCTCTTGCTGATGTGTCTCGAAACGGCTTTAACATCAAGGAGGACAAAGATATTTTCTTACAGAAAAGCGCCCATTGATCCATGATCCAAGAGAGCCCATGCAATAAGCACTGCTGGACATCAGGGCCCAGTGTGCAGCTCTGGAGGAGCCGGATGAAAAGCCAGGGGCTACGAGTCCAGCAGTGGTGAACATGCAGCACTGCACAGAAAACAGAGGACATTGATTCAACACACAAATTCAACAAAATAGCTGTTTAAATAGCTGCTAGGCATTTCATGTCTCATCATGGATCAGTCTTTACGCTCGTTACACCATGACACCGGGAAACTCCTCTGCGAGACGGAGATCTGCAGACACCATGGCTAGTCCAGATGTCTTAGTACTATCGATGTCTGCGCTTGAAGTTCACAGGTTCTCACAGCACATTTGGCTGTTGTTTGATGGGTGTTTGAGCTGAAACATCCAAAGTCACAGGTTAGACTTGTAGAGTTTACAAATCCAAGCCTGGATTTCTTGCAGATAATCTGAGCTTCTTTAAATGATGTGAAAACTCTACTTTTGGGCAAATGTTTAGTATGTACTGTAGGTTACATTTCTTATATTTTATATACAAAATTAATTGTCATTCCTGTTACGGAATATATGGCTATTAGTAGCATTCTAGTCAATAGTGACGGTACCTCCACTATCACTGCTCTCCATTATCTGCCTGTTAGCCAGTTCTCAATCCACGTGCACTCCCAAGGACACCTGCATATGGAATCGAACCCTGACATGAAACTAATGGAGTTTACAACAGAAGTTTCAGAGCAAGGTTA